ACCACAAGAGGTCCGTAAAGTCAAATATGTGACTTAAAAACTTTCATACCCACTCTGCACATAGAACTAACAGACCTGAATTCATCTCAGATTACATCAGCAACTTATTTGACTGTATTGGTGCCCATTCTTAATAATTAACTCTCCAGAGCTAAAAACAGCTACTGATGGTGATGATTGCATTGAACAATCATTCCCCTGGTGGAAGATAAGGGATTCATTAGTTCATTAGTGGCCAGCACCACATTTGTATGATGAAATCTGGGCCACAGATCAATCTTTTGTTTTCCACAGAAGAGAATATAATGTAATGTCATTCCACTAATGCGGGCTGGCAAGCTCAGCAAGTTCTGCGCTGCCCCCCACCCCCACTAGATGGTTGTCAGTATTGATGATATTGGTCAGAATTAAACCTGCCAGGTGCGTCTGAAAGTATTTCTTTCTTGTTACAACCCCTTAGAATTTTCATACCCTGCGGTGTGTGAAAATCCCTGGAGAGTTGGCTGCTTCTGCGAGACTGGAACCCCCCAGATGTGGCATCAATGAACACAAGGTTTGAAACTTCCTGGATCCATAGTCAAACAGTAACTGAACCTCCTAACCATGTCTGCGTGCTGTATGTTTTCAGTTGGACCCACACAGTTTGCTGTGTGGAAGAGCAGGCTGTATATTTCCACACCTTAGTCCTTTTTCATCCTGTGCCGCTGTAACATGCCCAGATAAACGATACACGTGCACCTGGCCATCCACATGATGGAACATTAGACCAGGCCTCCATCCTCCATTGCTCCGTAGTCCAGCTCTGACACTAACTTGCCCATGGAAGGTGCTTCAGGCGGTGGACAGGAGTCCACCTGAGTGCTCTGACCGGTCTGCAGCTACGCAGCTCCACATGCAGCAAAGTGTGAGCACCGTTGATGTCCCAGTGTAGAAGTACCAAAAAATCACTCTCTATTCTCTCATCTTGTACAAAGGCTTCTCCCTTTCTTCTTGTCTCTGTCAATCTACAGTCACTTACTCATAGTAATACAACATTCTAATACAACTAACAGGTTACGTCATACAATGCATTTGTGGATCACATGTTCTTACCTTATACTAGTTCAGTTATAGGATTCATTACTGCTAACTCTGGATGCCTGGAGCTGAGTTGTGTGCCCCCTAGATGAATTGTGGATGCATCTCATGTTATGGCTCAGGGCTGCGGATGGAGGAGCAGGATCTTGCTGCAATGCCCGAATGATCTCTTCTGATAGTTTGCCCCTGATGGACACAGAAAAAATTCCAAGGGTTTGGTGGTGTCATCTGGTTGGGGGCTCCGGTCTGGGTCAAACCTCAGAGAGAGGGGGGGGGCATCTGCCTTGATATTCTTCTCTACTGGCAGGTAAGTGAATTTGAACTAGAAGTGAGCCAAAAAACATGCGCATTGGGCTTGCCAAGGTTTCAGGCTCTTACTGTTACAGACATATTCCACATTCTGGTGGTCAGTTAGAACCTAGAAAGGGTGATGGGCTCCTTAAAGCCAGCGTCTCTAATACCAGCTTGATTCCCAACAGCTCCTAGTTACCAGAGGTGGCAATTTCAGGTCCAGAGAGTACAAATCCAGACCATGATTTTGTTTCA